GATATATCGGTGCAATCAGTAGGGAATTTTTAATTGATGTTTACAAATCCGAGTGAAAAAAAAAGAATTATAATCAAACGCAAACACTTCGGATCAAATTTTTTTTTGATTTTGCACCGGGGTGCTTGGGGCTTGATTTCCATTTGCAATTTTACCGGTGCCCTAATTAGGGAATGTTTCATTAATTTATGAAAATCAATTCCACCTAGTCTTCGGAGTAAATAACGGGTAATTATGCAACGCAAACACTTGGGATCAAATGTTGTTTTGGAAAATACACCGAGGGGGTTGGGGGTTGATCCCCATTTGGAATTTTCCCGGTTTCCTAATTGGGCGATTTTTCATTAATTTTTAAACATCAATTTCTTCAATTTCAGAAAGCCTTAAGGGGGCATGAAGGGTAATTATCCAACGCCAACACTTGGGGTCAAATTTTTTTTTGGGAAATGCACCGAGGGGGCTGGAGGTTGATCCTCATTTGCAATTTTATCGGCGCCTCAATTAGAGAATTTTTCATCAATTTTTGAAAATCACTTTCACCAAGGCCTCGGGAAAAAAAAATAATCCCACGCAAACACTTGTAAGGATATTTTCCCGGGTTGTTCACCCAGGAAAAATCCAAACTACTTTTTAGCCGTCTCTATCGCTCAATAGTCGGGCGCCAGCCGAACCTTCACGGGAGGTTCGACGAAAACCGGCCTCTGAGGCAAACTCGTCCACTCAGAGGACTTTTTGGCTGGACAATGGGTTGCCCAGCTAACATCAGCGTGATATGGTAGAGTGGGCGAGGTCCACCAGGAGTATTACCGTCACATTCCACGACCTTTGCAAGCCGTGAATTATGCCTCGCGGCACANACGCCCTCCAGACCTCCAGGGGTCGCGGTTTCACCCATAACCGCTATGCCTTAGGTCTTTCATTGGTTTGTGGTTTACCTCACCTAGTCCCGGCTTTCTTCAGCCGCTTCTAGGTGTCGCTACTTATCTCTCTTCAACAATTTTGAGAGTTCACTTATCTTTTTGAGGGGATTTCAACCCGTAACGAGAAAATCTCGTTACACACTTCGGATCAAAATTTTTTTTGGAAAATGCACCGGGGGGGTCATGAAAATCCTTTGGCCGTCCACACAATTCGGAATTCAGAAAAAAATAATTAAAAATTCCCTGATTAGGGCACCCGGAAAATTCTCAATCGAGAATAACCCCCAACCCCACCGGTATATTTTCCACAGAAAATTTTGACCCCAAGTTTTTGCGTTGGATAATTACCCTTTATTTATCCCGAAGACTTGGTGGAATTGATATTCAAAAATTAATGAAAAATTTCCTAATTAGGACACCGTGAAAATTCTTAATGGGAATCAACCCCCAACCCTCCCGGTGTATTTTCCAAAAAATTCGACCCCAAGTCGTGTTTGCGTTGGATTATTACCCTTTTTTTCCCCGAAGACTTGGTGAAATTGATATTTAAAAATTAATTAAAAATTCTCTAATGAAGGCACCGGGAAAATTTTTAATAGGCATCAACCCCCAACCCCCCCGGTGTATTAAAAAAAAATTGACCCCAAGTGTTTGCGTTTGATTATAATTCTTTTTTTTTTACTCGGATTTGTAAAAATCAATTAAAAATCCCCTACTGACAAGGAACACTACGCAGGTGTCCCCTTCCGATTTCGACGAAACTTAAATATATTATAGGGGACCCAAAACTAAGGGACACGTATTTTTCTTTAGCTGCCCATATTGGGTTTTAGGGGGTGAAAGTGCTCTCTGAAGTTGACCACCTCTCGGGGTCATTTTTCGATTGCACACATAAGGAAGCTTTTTAAATAACTCTTTCGCAGTGTATCATGAAGGTCACAAGGAATGATGAAAATGCGAAGTAGAACCGTCTCCGGGGGGTGAAATATGGAGGGTAAACTACCCTTGTGAAAATTCATTTTTCTCATAGAAAAAAAACTTTTGATGAAAATCCCATGGGGTAAATTCCATTTGAAAAAGTAGAAAAAAATACAGAATACCTGTTTTCATTTTTTTTTTCATCGAAATTTAAAACTTAAAAAACTAGATTTTTCGTGAAGTACGAAATTTCAAACTTTTTCCTGTACAAAACGAAGCTTACGGCTAATGATGAGGAAAACCATTGGGAGAGGATCCAGGAGTGGTGTTGGGGAGGTTAACTACCCTTGGGAGGGGGGGGGCAATTTTTTTTAATAAGGGAGAAAAAATATGGATGAGAATTTTACGAAACACATTTCGTTCGAAAGCCTGAGACAATATAAAGCACATATTTAGGATTCTTTCCGCAAATTAGAATTTTAAAGTAAGAAACATCGATTCTTTGAAAAATTATGGGTGTTAAATTGTTTGTTATAATAGACTGATCTTTCACGGAATGATAAGTGAAACAATTGAAACAGTCTTCGGGAGTGAAACTTGGGGGCTTAACAATCCTCATGGTATTTTATTGAATCGATCGGACCAACCTCATTCATTTTCAAAAGAAATCAGTAATGACCATGAATCTAAAAAATTGAAATTCCCTTAAATAGCTTCCATTTCCAATTTGAAAGAATGAGTTACGATGAAATATTTTGAGGAATTCAAATTGTTAGAGTCCCGAGCGGTTGGGTTCGGTAATTTGGACGATTAAGACACTCGCGAACGAGTACTATAATAATATTCTTTATTTAATTTCTTACTTTTCAGATACGATTCAAGTGTTCAGACTGATACGGAAGGTATCCAAAAAAAAAAAAAAAAAAAAAAAAAAAATTCAAATAGAATTAAAATTTAGAGAGAAAAAATTCCGATTCACCCAGCCGGGATTCGAACCCGGGTCTCCCAGTTACGCGCCGGGCACTCTTACCGACTAAGCTACCGGGAACCACGGAAATTCTCACTCCAAATTCAACTCAGCACGCCGCCT